AGTGACAGAAGTGTGGCTCAAACCTACGTCTGTGTAACTACAGTGTCCCTGTTTCTCCTACTGCAACTTACGGTATGGGTCTGGAGAATCCAGATAATTGTTACCCTCTCTTTCCTGGGTTTAGAGAAAAAAAATTCTCCTAAATCCTGTTCTTTAAAAAAAGCTCTATGGGACTCTGAATTTGGGCCAAGATTGGGCCTTGGCAGTATTGTTGGGGTGACCTACCTGGAAGCTAATGAATAACCTTACATGTACTTCATCTTTCCCCACATCAGCCTGCTATTATACCTCTTGAAACTATGCATCCTCTTCTTGACCCAGCATTTTACTGAATGTTGTGTTTCCTATTTATATAAATGAAGCCATTCATTCATTCATTTTACGATGGTTTATTTTTAAAATCACTTTTCATCTTTATCACCTGCCATGTATCAAACCTTGTTGTAGGAGATGAATCAATGGAGAATTTTTGCCAGATCAAAGGGCAACTTTGAACCCCTTACGGTATACAACTTCTTCCAAAAAGCAGGCTGACTGATGATAGATTAATATCTAGTAATAGCAGTTCAACAAAGTTAATTCCCTAACAATTCTGGTTTGACATTATAACTGAAGACATTATTTTGTGGAAGTAAAATATTACTATCAGCTATTAATTTTGTTGAATAGACAATTGTCCTTGGGAAAAGATCTGGAAAATGGTTAGTCAGCTAAGTAGTGCTTTAAAAATCAATCAGCACGTATTGATATACTCAAGACCCTGTGCTAGGTGCTCCACAAGATGTAGCTTTTGACTCCTTTCTCCTTTTTTTTTTCTCTATGCAGTCTCCTCATCAATGACCTTACCTCCCATAGCATCTATTCAGATAACTCCCAAATCTGCCAACTCCAATACTTCTAACCCCTAGAACTATAGTTTCAAATCCTAGCAGATATCATAATAATAACAAAAATTCAACATGTCAAGAAAGCAATTTTATTATTTCCCTATCATGTAGGTATCATTTTACTATTTTTGAGAGGATTTGAGAGGGATCAAGGAGAACATTTAGTCTATGTTAGTAATCCAAGCTTGAAGTACATAAAATTATGAGTTTCTATATGGTGAGCATGGAAAATAAGGGACAACTCTCAGAAATTCTGCAGGTTAAAATATTGGTAAGGATTGGTATTATTATAAATAACATTGTGTTTACTATGATTTGAATATCACTTCAAGATTTGGAGTCTTGAATGGGAAAATAAGAGCATCATTGTTAGAAGTAAGATGCCCTATTTGATGTCTGAGAAGATGGTCAACTGAATTTACTTAAATGCTAATACAAATTTTTTGTTGCAGCCAGGCAATACTTTTCCTTTATGGAACTAGCACTTTTTACTCTACCTTCCCACAGCTGTAGAGGCAGAGCCTAAAAAAGAAGGAAGTAAACGTATGGATCATTTATTTTGACTCCCTTCTTTTCATCAAAACAAGACTGCTTTACAGGAATTTCTCCCACTTTACGATGGGGAAACGTAAGGCCAGAAAATTAGGCAGACTGTTTTCACACAGTCAGATCACATGACAGTTTCTAAATTCAGTCTCATTTGACTTAGTTGCTACTAAGCTACACCTACCTGCCCTTGCTGCCTTAGTCCCTGATTGGCTTACTGGAATTTAAGTAGCAGCAGATCAGGGAAAGCAAATCCATCTACTCTCATTCCCTGAAACAAGCAAACAGCCAAGTAACAAACTGTACCAAATTAGCACCTCCTTCTACCTTCATTATTGCCAACATTGTTCTGCCTCACAACAGACTTCAAACTTTGGAGCCATCTTTGACTTTCTCCTGCTATAACTGATCGGTTACTAAGTCCCATTTATTCTTAATTCTATCTTTTATATCCATTGTTTTCTTTATCTTCCTACTGTCAACATGCTACCTCATTACCTGTTTCTTGCACCATTTTGCTAACTTCCTGATGGTCTCCCTGCCATTAATCTCTCCTTCAACCAATCATAGTTACTTCTCCTAATAAGACTCAAGAGGCAGTGTGGGGTAGCGGTTGAGAGTCTGGAGTCTGGAGTCCAAAGGCCTGCATTCAAATCTTCAGGCTTCCAACATACAATTTGATTTTGTGCAAGTTACTTACTATTTGTTTCACTTTTCTCATCTTTGGAATGAAAATAATGATAATCAAATCAGTTAATAAATATATAAAGCAAATGTTGAAAAATGTCTGGCACAAAGTACTCAATAAGTGTTAATTGCTGTTTTCATTGTTACTATCATTATCAAAGCATACTTTGGTTATGTAATTTCAATTGGAACTGATATTTTTATAAAAAGATCAAATCCATGTTCTCTGAGTTTGTAGACCAAACATTGTAGGCTAATACAAAACATGGAAAGGATAAGAATATGATTGAAGGCACATGATATTGGAACCGAAGAAGACTAAAAGCCCACATATGCCTAAGGGTTTTATTCCTTGTCCATCTGGTACCAAGGGCACCTTGGTGAACAGGGTCCCTATAAGCTCTGCAAAGTATGACCAGGAGAGCAAGTGTGTGGTCACTAGCAGCTGCTCAAAGCAACTCTATGGCTTTTTTAGTCACCAGGGAGACTAAAAAACTACTCCCTAACCAGAAAATGATAGAAAGCATGCTTCAGTGCTAGTGATGGCCAGTTACCAGTAAAAGGAAAGGAAAAATAAAGTAGGGGAGGGATTTGGAGACTGAGGTAGAGGCAGAAATGAAGGCAGAAAAATATATAAACTCAGAGTGATTCCCACACAAACATACACAAAGAGACCTGCAAATTCATGGAGACATAGACTTTGATGTGGTTAGCTTCCACTTCTGTGGCCTTTACTTGGACTCTTTAGATACTTTGTTTCAAATTCTGCCCCTAGGTATATACATCATATATATCTAGCCTATAAACCTTTTCCCACACCATTCTCTCTCTTTTCTTTCTTTTCTTCTCTTCTCTTTTCTCTTCTCTTCTCTCTTCTCTTCTCTTCTCTTCTCTTCTCTTCTCTTCTCTTCTCTTCTCTTCTCTTCTCTCTTTCTCTCTTTCTCTCTTTCTCTCTTTCTTTCTCTCTCACTCTGTTGCCCAGGCTGGAGTGCAGTGGCACAATCTTGGCTCACTGCAACCTCCACCTACCAGGCTCAAGCAATTCTCCTGCCTCAGCCTCCTGGGTAGCTGGGATTACAGGCACTGTGCCACCACCACCATGCTAATTTTTGTATTTTTAGTAGAGACAGGGCTTCACCATGTTGGCCAGGCTGGTCTCAAACGCCTGACCTCAAGTGATCCTCCTGCCTCTGCCTCCCGAAGTGCTGGGTTTAGAGGCCTCAGCCACCATGCCCGGCCACTTTTTCCTTTTAGTGTCAGTTCTATGTGTGCTTAAATTTACATATGCATGCACACACCTATACATATATTTTTTCATGTGTATTTCCTCTACTGTGACGTCTTCATTAAACACTGTAATCCTAAGAGTTTAGTTTTTTCTTCTTCCAGTGAACACCTCCAGAACTTAATTTCTTTTTACCTACCTAAAATCTTGTGCTGGCTTTTTCACCAGCAATAGTTTTCAAGGTTTTATGTTGAGTTTCAGACTATATTGTAAGCTTTTTGTGAATAGATGGTGTGTTTTATACTTGCCATGTGAGTACTGAAGAAATAGCAGGATAATTTGTATAATAATACCTTGACCAGATTAAAAAAAAGTCATAAGTGATGAGACCTACAAAAATATAGTAACAGGTAGATATTCCATCATACTTTTGTATATCTGCCTGTGAAAAGCATGAAAACATATAGGAGGATTAGTAGAAGGCAGCGTTCATATTTGGAGAGGCAGATGTTCATGGTTAACGGGTGAGTTTGAAGAAGAAAAATAATGGACTATGTCTTGATTCTGTATTAGAGTAGATATGGTCTGCCCAACAGCTCATCTCCTGCTTTTGAAAGGTACTTTGTGGCTTAAAAACTTTTGTTTATGTGGTCAAATTCTCTTCATGTTATCTGAAGACATCTTGGTGTCTAATCTGTACTTGGCATTTGTATTTGAGGAAGTAGGCTATACATACAAAAACAAATATAATTAGGAATATTAATAATTTCACTGTGTGCATGTATGTGTCTGTGTGTGTTCATGTGTGTCTACCTCTCTCCCATCTCCCCTCCCAGCATTCATTTTGTGAAGGAAAACTAGTTGAGTAACTTGGAGCTATAGGAAATTAAAAACTAAAAACAACTATTATCATAGTAACTATACCAACTGGAATATTTAATGTGCACCAATGCTATGAAACAAGTAATTAAAACCAAAGTTGAACTGTATTGAAGAAAAACAATATAGAATTCTTGCATAATGTACTTGAAAAGTAAGTTCATGTGATTTTACTATCATCTAATTACTTAACATCAGCGTCTGTCAAGTAGGTGAAATTCTTTAGGAATTCTTTAGAGTGTATATAAATAATATATTTTATGAATAGAAATCATAAGTTTAAAAATTATTAAATGCTCAATCAGAGCTAGTCTTCTGATTTCAAACAGCATAGTAATAGGTAATTTCTTAGGAAATGTTCCACTTATATTTTCTGTCATCATATACATCTTTTATCTGTGGCCCGACTATTCACTCAACTCAATTTCATGTTTATAAATTTTCCTAGTTCACCTCAGGGACAGATGTTGGCAGTTTGAATGCTATTGATGGCTAATGATTATGCAATTAACATATAGCAACTGTTCAGCTTCTATAATATTTTATTAATGCCATAAGGATGATTTAGTTTTAAAAAACCTGTATAGCCAACTGCTTTTTAAACTTTGATAAAATATTTCTTTGGAATGTTTAAAGCAAAAAATATTTTTAAAATCCCAGAGCAAATTCACTTTATGCAGAGATGTTACAGTGTTGACTATGAAATTATCCCCACTAAAGAGATAAAATAAGAGGCATTAAATGTATATTCTCATAGAGTATTTCTTATCTTACAGATGAGCTCCGTGAAAATGTTACAGCCTCGTCTCAGTAGCATCCTGTTCAAACTCACATTTGAAGAACACGTAAACAACATCAAACCAAGCATCATAGCAGTAACTCTTGCCTGTGAAGAACTGAAGAAAAGTGAAAGCTTTAACAGACTTTTAGAATTAGTTCTTCTTGTTGGAAACTACATGAACTCAGGCTCAAGAAATGCCCAGTCTTTGGGTTTTAAGATCAACTTCCTTTGTAAGGTAAGATGACATTTTATAATGCTAATTTACAACAATAATCTTCCTGTCTATGAAAGGTGATACTGCAAATAGCAATCATGCATAAACCACAAAATTGTATGCTTAAAAAGGACGAATTTTCTGGGATGCGAATTATATCTCAATTCAAACAAATAATTTTTAAAAATCTTAGTAAAATCTAAAAGACTTGAAAATTCTTTTGAATACAGTACTTAACATTTGCTGATTACATTTTACTGAAGTTTATAGACAAAAAATCCCCACTTTTATAAAGTAGATGCAGTATTGGCCAGGTGCGGTGGCTCACACCTGTAATCCCAGCACTTTGAGAGGCTGAGGCAGGCGGATAACCTGAGGTCAGGAGTTCGAGACCAGCTTGGCCAACATGGTGAAACCCCATCTCTACTAAAAATACAAAAATTAGTGAGGGGAGATGACGGGTACCTGTAATCCCAGCTACTCCGGAGGCTGAGGCAGGAGAATCGCTTTAACACCGGAGGCGGGGGTTGCAGTGAGCCGAGATCACGCCACTGTACTCCAACCTAGGCAACAGAGCAAGACTATGTCTCACAAAATAAAATATAAAATAAAATAAAATAGACGCAATATCGTATTTCATTTACATTATTACTTATGTCTTTCTAAAAAGTATCTAACAAGCTAAATTTAATGAGGTAAATAGCCAGAAATTTATTTTTGAATATAGTTTGCTTATTCTACTCTAAGATAATGATACTCTTCAATGTCAAGTAGTATTGTACACTGGTATCTAGTGCATTCAAGAGGTAAAAAAGAAAATTGAATAATAATCAACTTGTTTTGATTGGATCATTTAATAATAACATTTTTGAGACTTATGAAAAGCAAACAAAGATACAGAGAAGCCCAAAAGTGCTTGTACATGTCCATTTTTAGGCTAGAGCAAACCACCTTATTCAAGGAAAAGATCTGTCTGTTATAGAAGCCTGAAAAGACTCTGAGGTGAAGGCCTGTAAGAAAGCTAGAGACGAAAATAAATGTGAAAACAAGCAATCTATCTTTGACATCTCACCATTCTTTCACTTTTTTTCTCTCACATCTGAAAACATTGCAGAACTTTGGTTAGTTCTTGAAGTATATTATAATGAGAATCCCAAATCTAGCAATGGATATGACTTTCTTTTCTATACATGCATTAAATTGATGTTCATTACATATACATGGACTAGCACTTTGATAGGTATCAAAAATGATTTGATCTTGGGAGTTCTAACCCAAATAGACATAAAGAATAACACTTACAGATAGTAATAGGATGTACAATAGAATTGTGAATATCTGTTTATTCCTGATATATTTTTGAGGGCTGTAAGGAAAGAGAACAAGGAAGGAAAATAGGGAAAATTGTCTGGAAATGCTGGATTTTGTGAAGAAAACATTTTGCCCTCATCTTCTTGTGATATTTGGGGACATGTAAAATCATTTCATAATGCCAGAGGGAATAAGGCAATGCTTGTAATAAACTGTACTAAATCATGCCAGATTTATAGGATAAAATAAAGTATTTAGGACGTTAACATTGTATTGTATACCATATACCCAATGTTAATAGAGTCATCTCTTTACCATGGTGCTACTTGCCTAGAGTATATGCTATATGCACAGTGAGTAAATCTAAAAGTCTTCTTGCTTGACAATTATAAAAAGAGTATAAGTTAAAATATCATTAGAAATTTGTATTAGATACCTATTTTGCATTTAATTCATATAAAAATATTTTAAACCATTCTAATTTGAAGAAATATGTACCTTATAAGTGTCTTAATTTCACACTATTCAAATTAATTACATGAACTAATTTCTTTGAAGCAAGAATGAGTAAGTCATTTATACATAGGAACAAAAGATTACGTTAATCTCACTGAAGGATTTTACAGTTACATCTTGTATTTTGGAGAGAGGCTTCTTTCTGTCATCTACCTGTCAAATAAAAGTTCTTCTACACAGCACTGATCTGACATCTATCACTAGAGGTATGCTCAAAGGATTCAGCACAAAGATTTTTGCCAACTTCAAATAAAATAAAAAATAATCTTGTGGGAAATACTATCATGTAGCAATAGGTGTTCCAAAAGTGAAAGAAGTGAAGGTTTTAAAATCTGTCCCCCACTCCACCCCCAACTTTTCAGTAAGATTTTTATCTTCTGGGAAATTTTCTAGGAAAACACTTGTCATTTAGAAAGAGAAATATCATATACATGCATGATATTCCCATAATGTCTAGGACTCAAAGGATAGTCCTGGAATACAAAGGATTGTGAGTAAATGTAAATGTCTAAAATGACAGAAATTTTCTGAAGCACATAGAAATAGTTAGCTTAGGTCTGTATTCTGTTTGAAATAGAATTAAGTAACTACTGATGTGTAATTAGCTAGAATTGCTGTTTAATTTCAGTTGTATTATGAAGGATTTCTTGGTTGATTTTTCTTAGTGATTGCCTTCTTAAAGAAAATAGCAGGGGGAATTTCCCTCATAGAACACTGATTATGCTTTAAAATGATACCATTTACTATCCTAAATTTTTCTAATGATAATTTCTCAGTGATTTTAAAACTAATCCAGTGCTTTTAACAAGAAGCTATAGAGTATGTTAAAATATTCAACTAGGTAAAAAGGAGGAATGTGGTTAAACTTATCAGATGTATCTTGTAGTAAGGTAATATAAAAATTTCAGATGGTCACAATTGGCTGTTATGGTATTTGGGAAGAAAAGGAAAACAGATGGGTTAACCAAAATGTCAACACTAAAGGGTATCATTATTGTAATTACTACCCTCACCACAAAATGCTTTGTTAATTTGCAGCAGTGAATTATCACTTTGAGTCACCAAACCAGTGTGCTGAACTGTAATAAAAATCATTTCAATGAAGATGAGCTCCCAATGTTAGCTTAGCCTGTTGGTTATTAAAATTCTAACCAATAGAAATGCTACACCTCAAGGCCATTTGTTTGCTTTTTTTTTTTTTTCAGTATGAAATAGCATATATAATCTGCATAAGGACAAAACATTTAAAAATACTTAGCATTCCCTCTATACGAAGCTTTGTGGGTTCATCAAATAAGTATCTTTGTTTGTAAGTATCAGAACGTGACTCTGCCTGATTCAAGCAAAAAGTGAAACTTGCTGGAAAGATATGAAGTAACTCAGCCAGAAACTGAGGAAAGACTAAAATACTTGGCCTTTAAAAGAACAGCAACTGTGACAGCTTTGAGAATTCAGGTAGCAGGATTGAATGAAAAGTCTTTTTAGGATGTTGCCTTTGGGATATATCAACTCCAACCATTTTCCTTCTCCTTTGCCTATGTTTGATTCAAATTCAAATGATGAAGAGAGCCTAATGAGCCCGGTGTGGATTATAAGAACACCCCTTGTTCAAGGGAGAGCAAAAAACCTTGATTGACAGTGCTACCAAAACTACCTGCCATGGAAGATTGGTTATGCCCTAAAGGGTGCTATTACCAAAGATAGGGATATACCAAAGGTTAGGAGCAGGTAAAGGAATATCAGGCAGCTATAAACAAATACAAAATAAAACAGATGATCTATTCATCAGAGGTCTACAAACAATAGAGAAGATACACAGAAACCTCAAGAAGTTTGTGGTACAGTTGAGTAGCCAGGAAATACGCATACGGAATATTATGTGATGTCACAAGGTACACTGTCAGTGAGGGTAAAAATAAATGGCCACTGATATTAGCAGGAGTTCAGGGGAGGAAGGAATCTTTGGTGACTGGGCACTGCTGGTAAATTGAAAAAGAAGAATCTTGAAGAATAGGTAGGATTAAGAATCCATAACCTTACAAAAGGGGAGAATATCGTGGGCTTAGAACCTACGTTTTAACTTACACTTTGCCAATTACTAGCCAATTTTTCATGACTAAGTCACTTAGCTTCTCTGAATCTCAATTTGAGATTGAATATTTCTTGAATATTTCTCCCTTTACTTCTTGTGTCTTTTTTTTTTTTTTTTTTTTTTTTATTTCCTTGCATTGGGCTTCACCTTTCTCTGGTGTCTCCCTGATTAGCTTAATAACCAATATCCTGAATTCTTTTTCAGGTAAATCAGGGATTTCTTCTTGGTTTGGATCCATTGCTGGTGAGCTAGTGTGATTTTTGGGGGGTGTTAAGGAGCCTTATTTTGTCATATTACCAGAGTTGGTTTTCTGGTTCCTTCTCATTTGGGTAGGCTCTGTCAGAGGGAAGGTCTAGGGCTGAAGGCTGTTGTTCAGATTCTTTTGTCCCATGGGATGTTCTCTTGATGTGGTACTCTCCCCCTTTTCCTGTGAATGTGGCTTCCTGAGAGCCAAACTGCAGTGATGGTTGTCTCTCTTTTGGGTCTAGGCACCCAACAAGTCTACCTGGCTCTGGGGTGATACTGGGGGTTATCTGCACAAAGTCCTGTGATGTGAATCATCTGCGGGTCTCTCAGCTGTAGATACCAGCACCTGTTCCGGTGGAGGTGGCAGCGGGGTGAAATGGACTCTGTGAGGGTTCTTAGCTTTGGTGGTTTAATGTTCTATTTTTGTGCTGGTTGGCCTCCTGCCGGGAGGTGGTGATTTCCATACAGCATCAGCTGTGGTAGTATGGAGAGGAACTGGCGGTGGGCAGGGCCCTAGAACTCCCAAGAGTATGTCCCCTTTGTCTTCAGCTACCAGCGTGGGTAGGGAAGGGCCATCAGGTGGGGTAGGTTTAGACTGTCGGACCTCAGACTCTTCTTGGGTGGATCTTGTTGCGGCTGCTGTAGGGAATGGGTGTGAGGTTCCCAGGTCAATGGAGTTGTGTACCTACATGGATTATGGCTGCCTCTGCTGAGTCACGCAGGTTGTCAGGGAAGTGAGGGAAAGCCGGCAGTCACAGGCCTCACCCAGCTCCCATGCAATCCAAAGGGCTGGCCTCACTCCCACCATGCTCCCACTAACAGCACTGAGTCTGTTTCTAGGCAGTGGGCAAACAGG